GGCTAATACCAATAAAGGGAATAAGTAGATAAATGATAAAATACATTTACAGCCTGAAATGTGCTGGGGCAAACAATAAAGCAGAAAAGGGGGAATAGAGAGTGTTTGTGTTGGGGTTCTGTTACTTATTTAATAGAGTGGTCAGCTGACTCACCTACAAAGGTGACAGTTGAGTAAAGGCCTGAAGGAGATGAGGAAGGAGCTGTGCAGGTTTCTGGAAAAGAGAGTTCTAGGCAGAGGGAACAGTCCGTGCAAAGGTACTAGGGTGGAAACATGCCTGGTCTATTAGGGCACAGTGAGAGGGACTTGTGGCTAGAGGGGAGTGAACAAGGGGGCAAGTGGGAGGAGAGGTGAGGTCAGAGACGTGACAGGAGCCTTGGTGGCTGTTGTGGTTATGGGGTGTCTCTGGCCTCCCTCTATCTGACCCCCTCTCTCTGCTACAGAGTTCGCCAATCCAGGATACAACCGCCACTTCTGAACTGCCTTCGGAGACCCAGGAGACCCCAGGCCCCACCCTATGCAGGTGACACCCCTCCCCTGTCCACCACCTACCACCACTGCCCACTGTCCCAGTTCCCACCAGTATCCTCTCTCCACAGTCCTCTCAGGAAGTCACCCCTGACCCTTGAGGATTTCAAGTTCCTAGCAGTGCTGGGCCGGGGCCACTTTGGGAAGGTGAGATGGGGGCAAGAGGTTGAAGAGCTGGGAGTCTATACCCCTGGGTCCCTGGGCTGGTTGCTAAGGCCACCCCTGCCCACTATGGTTCCAGGTGCTGCTTTCTGAATTCCGGCCCAGTGGGGAGCTGTTTGCCATCAAGGCTCTGAAGAAAGGGGACATTGTGGCCCGAGATGAGGTGGAGAGGTGGGGACCCTGCTCAGGCACTCTGAGAACATCAGTCTTCTCTTCTGGGAAATGGGAGACAGAGCAGTCCTTTCTCACACTTATTGAGCTAGTACTTAACTTTTCTAACTCTTAGAAAACATCCACTCTGCACTTTATATTCAGTAACTCATTTGTTCCTCACAGCAGCCCTAGGGGGTAAATACTGTTATTGTTCCCAGTCTGGTGATGGCAGAGAGAAGTTAAGAAAGTTGCCTGAGGTCACAGCCAGTAAGCAGCAGGTCCAGGATTCAAACCTAGGGACTCAGGCTCTGAACCCTGTGCTCTTTTTTTTTTTTTTTTAAAGTATATCTTTATTGATTCCAGAGAGAGGAAGGGAGAGAGAAAGAGAGAAACATCAATGATGAATCATTGATCGGCTGCCTCCTGCACGCCCCTGACTGAGGACCCAGCCCCCAACCCGGGTGTGTGTCCTGACCGGGAATCAAACCATGATCTCCTGGATCCTAGGTCGATGCTCAACCACTGAGCCACTGATGCCTGGGCTGAAGCCTGTGCTCTTAATGGTGCCATTGCATTGCCTCTGCTTTGGGGTCAGGGCCCTGAGGTCAAGTCCCATCTCTGCCACAGACATGCTTAGAGATCTTGGGGAGACCCTTCTGAACCTCAGCCTCCCCATCTACAAAAGGGGAATACTAATGCCTTTCTTGCAGAGTAATCGGGTGGATTAAATGAGAGACTGAATCTAGAGCATTCTGTACAGTGCCTGGCTCCCTGTAAATGCTTGGTAGAAACACTGAGATTGTCCCCTGTCTTCTTGACATCCTTTTGTTAATCAGGAACCCAATTCAGGCAGGCTTAAGCAAATAGAGGAATTTATTGCTCGGATCAGAAATGTCCAGGGGTGGCTGCCTTCAGGCATGGCTGTGGCTGTATCCAGGTGCTCAGATGATGTCTCTCAGTTCTATTTTCCTGTATATGGGCTTTGCAGTCCCCTTACAAGGGCAGAGATTCCCTCCACCCCAACTTGAGCCCTTCTTCCTTAAAAATTCCAGCAGATCCCAGTCAGAGTACATGCCTTAGTTGTGACTTAAATCCCTAGTAGGGGACGTGCTGAAGGCAGCTGATTGATGTTTCTATCTCTCTTTCCCTCCCCTCCTCTCTGAAATCAATAAAAACATATTTTAAAAAAAATTCCTATAAGCCCACCCCTGCCACCTCCCCAAAGAGAAGTTGGGGGACTGTTACTAGGATGACAGGTGGATTCTAGGTGCCTGTTTAGCAGATGAGGCTGCCAAGGTTCAGAGATGTTAAGCAGTTTTCCCAAGGTTGCACAGGCATAAGAGGCCTTCAACAAATATCCAATGCTTGAAGACTCTAGGGAGTGTGAGAGTTGGGAGTAGGGAGCTACTGTGCTCTCTGACCCCTGTCCCCACCCTGCCCAGCCTGATGTGTGAGAAGCGGATCTTGGCAGCAGTGACCAGTGCAGGACACCCCTTCCTGGTGAACCTGTTTGGCTGTTTCCAGACACCGGAGCATGTGTGCTTTGTGATGGAGTACACGGCTGGTGGGGACCTGATGCTGCACATCCACAGTGATGTCTTCTCCGAACCCCGAGCCATGTGAGCCTGGCCTCCTGCACCCCATGCCTCAGCCCCCTTCTCACTCCTTTATAGACCCCACCTCCCCCCACCTCCTGGAGTCTGGGGGAACCTGAGGGGGGTCCCTTTTGAGGATGTGGCAGCCAGGTTTATATGATCTTCCTTGGGAGGCCTGGCTCCCTCATACCAACCTCTCTCTGCAGCTTCTATTCAGCCTGTGTGGTGCTGGGGCTTCAGTTTCTCCATGAACACAAGATTGTCTACAGGTGTGTGCATGTGTGTGCACATGCTCGTGCATGCATGTTCTGCCCACTGGGGGGGACTCAGGCTTCAGGCAGAGCCCCTATTCCCACTCATTCCTCTTTATACCCCCCAACCCCTCACAGGGACCTGAAGTTGGACAATTTGCTCCTGGACACCGAGGGCTATGTCAAGATCGCAGACTTTGGCCTCTGCAAGGAGGGTGAGGGGCGGGGCTGGGATCTGAGGGCATTAGACAGAATGGAGGGGGAAGGAATGGAGTCCCCAACCCTACCCAGGGTATCTCACAACCCCACCCTTGATCCTGGGACAGGGCTGGCTGGACCCCCTCTATCCCCCCAATAACCTCACATGTCCCTGCTGCCCCAGGGATGGGCTATGGGGACCGGACCAGCACATTCTGTGGAACCCCGGAGTTCCTGGCCCCCGAGGTGCTGACAGATACATCGTACACACGGGCGGTGGACTGGTGGGGGCTGGGCGTGCTGCTCTATGAGATGCTGGTTGGCGAGGTGAGGCCATAGGCTGCCCCCACCCTGCTTGTCCCTGGGATGGCACTGGAACCTGTGTGTGCCCACAGGGGTGGAATCAGAATCTGCCTCCACCATGTGTTGTGTGATTTGGGGCAGGTGGCTTCTTCCTGGCCTTAGTTTCCAAATTGTAAAATGGGATACTTACCTTTTGTGTGGAGGTACAGCCAGAGCAGAGGGCTTTGGTGGGGCTGGGCATGGCATGGCCAGAGGAGGTGCTTAATTCATTCACCCTATTCTCCCTGTCCCCAGTCCCCTTTTCCAGGGGACGATGAGGAAGAAGTATTCGATAGCATCGTCAACGATGAGGTTCGCTACCCCCGATTCCTGTCAGCTGAAGCCATTGGCATCATGCGCAGGGTGAGGACCCTCTAAGCTGTGGTGGGACTAGGGAGGGGCTCCGAGGTCCAGAAGGGGAGGACTGATACAATGCTTCCCCCACCCACCCAGCTGCTGCGGAGGAATCCAGAGCGGAGGCTGGGATCCAGCGAGAGGGATGCAGAGGATGTGAAGAAACAGCCCTTCTTCAGGGTGAGGAACCCACCTTCCACCAAGGGCAAGGCCCTTTCCCCCTAAGACCTGATGGCTTCACCTCCAACATTGTCGCCCCCTTTCTTTCCTCCTCCCTCACCCTCACTGACCCTCCTAAACCTACTCCAGGCTGGCCTGGTGGGAACCACTGCCCTGTGTATGAGTCCAGGCTCTTCCACTGATCAAGTGATCCTTCCCGAGCCCTCAGTCCTTCTTACTCTTCTCCTCAATCTTTTGACTCATTAGATGAACCTCAACAGATCCAGAGTTGGATGGGGCGCAAGGGCTGGCCCTTCATGCCTTATGCGCCTCAGCCCCCCACACTGACTTTCCCCCACTCACCCTGCAGACCCTGGGCTGGGACGCCCTGCTGGCCCGGCGCCTACCGCCGCCCTTCGTGCCCACGCTGTCAGGCCGCACGGATGTCAGCAACTTCGACGAGGAATTCACCGGGGAGGCCCCCACGCTGAGCCCGCCCCGAGACTCGAGGCCTCTCACTGCCACAGAGCAGGCGGCCTTCCGGGACTTCGACTTCGTGGCTGGGGGTTGCTAGCCCGCTCCCCTGCCCTTGCTCCCACCCAGCTGTTAGTTTTTAAATATGCCTTTGGGGTTTGTCCCCTCCATGCATCCCCGGCTCTTCTTGTTCACAGTAATGAGAAGGGAGGGGCATAATCAGAGCTGGGAAGAGTGGGGTGGGGAGACATAATGGGGAGAGTCTTGGGTTATAGTGGGGCGTGATTTGAAAGGGGTCAGGGGAGGGTGGGGACTTGGGGACCTCACTATGGTAGGGAGCACGGACACGCCTCGCAGGGAGGGTTTCAGGACTATGTTGAGGGAGGTCGGGAGTTAGAGGCTGTGATGGGGTACGGTCTTCGGGCTGTGTTGGGGGAGCTCAGAGCCGCAATGGGCGAATGGCTACCGGAGTCCCCCCCTGGCAGCCGCAGGGGCAAAAAGCACTCCGCGACCCTCTCGCTCTGCTTCCAATCTGCGCATGCTCCTTCGGCTCGGGCTCCGCGTCTGGCAGCCCTGGGCCCCCGCGTGGCAAGTCCGGGAACTGCACCTCCATGGGAGCACCCTGTGCCTCTGCCCCCCGCGCGGTCACAGGCGTGCTGCGGCACCAACGGGACACACCGCCCTGGGCTGGTCTGCAAAATGCCTTTATTCCCCGAAGGCTACGCGCTGCGGTCCTTGCCCGGCCTGGAGTGGTCTGGCTTAGTTGCTGGGCCTCCGGGTGTGCCTAGAAGTGGCTGAGGCCACTGTGCCGGGAGCTGCGCAGGGAGCTGGCCTCCCAGGCGCTCCGGGTTAGGCCCAGCCCCACGGGGCTGCCCTTGGCGCGGGCCCTTGGGGGCAGGAGGCGAAGCAGTTGGCGCAGCACGGCTTGGCGCAGCAGGATATACACCCACGGGTCCAGGATCTGGTTCCATGAGGCAAGGCGCACGGCCATAAACAGCGGCCGCTGCAGGGAGCTGGAGCCCCAGCCCCCGACGGCCAACACCACCAACACCTGCGGGAGAAGCCGGCGTGAGCGGTGGGGTGGGTGCAAGAGAAGGGGACCAGCGAAAGGTGGGGCTGGGATGGATGGGAGCATGACTGGAAGATAAGGGGGTTGTGAAGAGGGGCAGAGCATCACAGGGGTAAATGGGTGTCTCTGTGAAAAAGAGCTATGGAAAGATCGTGAAGAAGCGGGGCCCTAAAGGAAGCAAAGGACTTAATTGGGTGGAGGCTCGAGCTAGAAAGGAGATAAGTCCCGGGTGTTCCCAAAGGGCAGGGGACTGAAGTGGAGAAGTAAAACGGTGGTGGGAGGCGGTGGAAGAGGGCCAGAGAATGAAGTTTCAGGGCCTAGAGGCGTGGAGCTGGGGAGGACGCTTGTGTGGGTTGGGGTGAGCAACAAGACCCCAAGAAGGAGTAACATAAGGACTCTGGAAGAGGGGTAGACGTCAGAGAGAGGGGGCAAAGGGCGGGCTTTCCTGACAGGTGGGGCTTGAAGGGGGCGGGACCCAAATATCCTCCGATGGAAAAGGTAGTAAGGGCGGAGGCGGGAGCAGGAAAAGGTTTGGCTGGAGGGGCCGGTGTGCCCCTCACCAGCAGCGGGCTCCAGCAGATGCACGACACCACCATGATGCCTAAGAGCTGGCCCACCATCTCCACGTCATGGGCGCGGGCTCTACGCGCTGAGCCACGGCCCAGGACGCCGCGGGAGGCCGTGGAGGCCGAAGCGACCGAGGAGGCGGAGGCCGAGCGGAGGCCGCGCGCGCCCCAGC